TCTTCATTGGTAGATGGATGACGAGGGGTGCAGTTGTGGTGATTTCTATGGGAGTTACGGAGTATAGCCATAGGATTTTAATTTTCCATTAGTTGGAAATGGGGTCCCATGACTATGGATATATATATAACTCGCACTGCACCCCCATCACTTGGTACGGGCAAAATTGGAAACTGTACAAAATGTGTAAGTCTAAAAGTAAACCCCAAAAAAGTGGATGTCCTGACCTTTCAAGTTTGAAACATACCCAGGTTTTATTTACTCGGACACTTGGCGGTTGTCGGCAAAGCCAACTGCTGGGTTTCATAGTGATCAGCCGAACATCACTTTTCAAAAATGTTTCTCTGAAAGAATGGTTCCCAAATTCCACTGTTTTTTTTCGCCTCATTTTCTTTATCGCCATTTTATGGGTATCCACTGTATCCAGCATTTTCAGATACGGCCTTTCCTCCAATTTTCATGGCACTCCATCAAACCCCTCTTTGAGGGCTTTGTATGAAAATTGGGGAACCAGAAAAACACTGAAAAATTGGCCCATGATTTTCCCCGAACAAAACTTGCTAACTGGAGGGTTTTTTCCCCATTCTTAGATACTGTAGTTTCAAATGACGATCTCCTCGTGGTAAACCGCAGTTACAAACAAGGTGGGGCCTCCGAACGGTAGCGAAGTTGGTCAGTATAACTCCAATAACTCGGGTTTATAGGTGATATATCTATAGTTAATGGCTTTACAACCAATTTATAACCAATTTATATATAGTATATGGTTTATGATAACTAGAACTAAAATTACCCTCTGGTGATTTAGCATAGCCATGGAAAAATCACTATATGTAACAGGTCAAGCATCTAGAAATGATTATACATGGACCATTTTCCATAGCTATGTTAAATTCCCAAATGATAATATAGTTATATTGGTTGTATATCATGTTATATCTATAATTCATGGCTTTATGGTCATCATAATATACAGCTACATGGAGGTTCCCTAGGGTCTTATTTTATAATATTGTCCAAGAATAGTCCTATAATATACCCCCATATAACATAACAGTATATGGTCCTATAATAGGTACAAAAATATGGTCCAATAATATTGGGTATCATAACATGTATAGCAACAGTATATGGTTCTATAATATATGTTCCTATCACAGTACCCTCTGGTAAACTAACATAACTATGGAAAATCACCACTTTAACGGGAAAACCCACTATAAACGGCTATTTTCAATAGCTATGTTAAATTAACAGAGGGTATATCAATACATTATCATCCTATTATCATCCCATTATTCACCATTGTTAACCATTAAATCACCATAGAAATAGTGGTTAACTCACTATTAAATGTGGGGTACCATCAACAGCATCCAGCTCTCTCGACTGGACTCGACTGGACTCTAGGGACTCTAGGAGCCAGGCCCATGTCGCAAGACCCTCGCCAGCTGGAACGCCACCTGTGCCCAGCGATGTTTGGTGCTTTAACGCCAATGATATTTATCATGACATCATTACATTGCATTGCATTGCATTACATTACATATATAAAATATATATATATATTATAATATATATATATATATTGTATTATAATGATAATGTGTGTATATATATATATGTATACGTATATCTATGTATAATAAAGCTTACAACCGGATAAATTCTATGGTGTTCTGGTTTTTATCCGGTTATCCAAAATCCCAAAATCCAATACCTCTCTGCCCAACAAAACAAGCCAGCCGCGACCCATGCTTTCAGGCGGCTCAACTAACCTCATTGAAGGGGCTGAGTTCGACTTGGATCTTTCTGGATCTTTCTGGTACCTGGTTTGTTCCCAGAAATCCAATGGATTTCGTCAACTATCAATGGGGAAAATCCATGGATTTTCATGGGAATGGGATTTATTAGGATATATGATGGTATACCCTCTGGTTATCTTAGAGTTTGATGGAAACCATGGAAACCATGGCCCATTTAGCTCGATAAATGATGATTTTCCATATAACCTAGAAAAAATATCACAGTTTGCGAACTGGAAAATGACCATAGAAATAGTGAGTTTTCCCAGCTAGATAGCATGGTGATTTTCCATCGTTGTTTAATAAACGTTTACCAGGCCGGGTAATGACTGGCTGAGTTTGCTGGAAGCCATGGCCCACTTAGGTCGGAATTTGATGCACAAAAACTGGCCATTTGGCAACCATCATGGCGACAAATGGTGAATCATCAAGTTGATTCCATGTATTTCATATGATTTAATGTGTTTACTTGGAGATACCCATATGATAATCAAACAACATGAATTTTGACCATGGCACATATGTCTGGGTAAATTATCATATTTCACTTCAACCATTAAATAGGTCATAATAGTTCGGCCAGCTATGGGGATGATTCCCCTTAACATCTTTTACCCAGATATGCTACAGATATGTTTAATTTACATGGTTCGCCATACTTAGTAACAATATCATATACTACATATAATAGTCCAAACGTAGACGGTTAATAAACCTTTATCAGAATCAATAAAGGTTTATTGGATGGATATCATGCTCTCCATATGGCTAAATATTCCCAATATATGATGGTTATTAATGTCATGGTTATTAATATCATGTTAAATCAATGATATTCTCCAATCATATATTTCCATGATATCAATGATATTCTCCATATGGCGAAATCTTCCCAACATTCCCATGATCTTCGCCGTGTGGCGCCACCGAGTCCCAGTGCCGCCGCAACGCCGCAGCGACCACCGCCTACAGGCGGTGGTCGAAATTTGGATCAAAATTCCTGGTGTTTTTTTTTCAAGAAACCAACAAAAGACCAACACACACCCAAATAGATCTCAAGTCATTGGGGATCCTCAAGTTGCCATTGGTTTCAATACTAAGAAAAAAAATAAGTCATGGTATCATCTTACTGGTGCGTTTTACGTAGGGAATGGGACTGGGGGTTGCTGGGATGACTAAGCACCTAGTGATGAGTTATGGATCATTCCCTCAAATTCCCTTTTTTTTTGGGCACCAGTAAGACAAAAGACCGGAAAAAAAATGATGATGCCAGTATCCATTGTTAATGCCATATTATCCATTAATAACCATTGATAATTAATAACCAAATCACTGGAAATCTTGGAGATCAGAAAACATGAACAGCAAATTACTGGAAAATACTGGAAATTTACTACGAGAAACATGTTGATTCGACAAACAATTTATCCAGAGACATATTGAGCTCTACTGGCAACACTGGTGTTCTTTGGAATTTGCCCCACTCATGAATTCTAATTCAGTACTTGTTACAGTAAGAACCAGATCGCACCAGCAAAGAATAAGGATTTAACGATTTCAAATCTGGTTGTGTGATTTTTCTGATATCAATTGCCGCCAAACGTCGCAAAGGACCAAAAACAGCATCACACATTGCTAAGGCTTACTGGAAAATATCCCATTTATAGATGAATTTCCCATGAAAATCCTCCTTTCATAGAGGATTTACAAGTGCCATGTTTGATTATCGAAGGGTAAGTCCACAAAAAGCTGGTAAAACTGGGCTGTTTCAGAAATTCAGGTGGCGTTGTCTGAAAATAGGATAATCCATTCCATCCAGTGTCCCAAAATGATTTCCCCAAGAAGCCATTGGGGGTTTACAACCCAGGACATACGATAGCCACTATCACAGCCAGAAATCTGAAGTTGATATCAGTTGATGACATATATCCCCATCATATATCAACTTGGGGAAAAAATCCCCATAGAAGTGGAGTAAATGACTTACTATCCCCATTACCCTCTGGTAATTTGTTACATAGCTATTGAAAATGGCTATTTATAGTTGATTTATCTATTAGAAATTTTGATTTTCCATAGTTTTTTGTATGTTTACCAGAGGGTAAACCGTGTTAAACCTGTTGGCTTAAAAATCAGCACTCAGCAATTTTATGGGACTTTAAACCACCCAAATCTCGTTGATATATCATATAGATCTCCCCATATACCCATGTCAGATCATGTCGCTGAATTCATCCTCATCCAGCGCCTCATCTTCGATGGGATTCAAGCTGCAAGTGCTATAGACCTTGGTACATTAAGCACCAAAAAAAAGATGTCTGTGAGTCTATCTGTTGTGATGGGAAATATCCAATTTAAATCAATAGATTATGAAAACATGGTTCAACGGATCTTGTTTTCCATTCAAAATGACAAATTTTAACATTGCCAGAAACAAGAAAAAACAGTCACTAAGCATCCACAAACCACCGTTGACCCAAAGATTGAGAGTGACCACAATGGCCACCGCATCATTCTGACACCACAAACTATGGCCATCTATGGCCTTTGGGTATGGGTCAAAAGCATTACCCTATGGTAAACCTTTACATAGCTATGGAAAATCAACATTACTGGGCAAATTCAGCTATCAACGGCCATTTTCAATAGCTATGTAACAAATTACCAAAGGGTAACTTCCAATTTATGGATGGTTTCAGAAAATCGCTGCTGAAATATCGCTATGAATCCCTTCAGCGGTAAGTTGTGGCACCCCAAGGCTCTGACCAAACGACCACCCACTTTCAGCAGCTCCAAACCACGGTAAAGGATATTCAGCTGCCTGGCGGCTCCGAAATCCAAATTGAAGTGCAAGAAATGGGAATGACACGAATGACACCAACAAAAAGCGACTGAATCGCAAAAATGGATAGCGATGAAACATAGGGAATCACTTTCCCATTTCCCTTGAAAAGGTCGAATTCCGACGCAAAATTCGAAATTTGGGATGTTACATTAAGCTGGAATTCAACATAATTCAACATAATTCAACAACAATTCAGCATCATAGAATCCCCATTGATATATCCCCATTCAGCCATCATTAACCATTGATATCCCATATGGATATATCAGCTTCATTAACCATCAATGAACCATCAATGAACCATCAATTAACCATCATTCATTAAGGCATCATAAAAACCACCGATTTTTCCACCGCATCACAGGATCAGGTCGTCGCAGGAGCGAGACCTTCGGCAGGGCCGGTGCTTGGAAAACAATGGCGTAAAGCCTCCGGTTTACGAAACGTGGAAATGTGATATCCCCTAAGAATGGAGCTTTGAACGGGAAAATATGTCATCAATAATCATCATCTATAGTCTGTAGTCATGGTGGAAAAACTCCATTGCCACGTTTGATTACCGGAGGGTAGACCCCCTGAAAATTGGGAGATGGAACACAAAAAAAAAGACACCAAAAGTGGGCATAAAACCCGACCATCAGGGTGATGGAAATCATCCATATTGACCCCTTCAAAAGCAAACATTGCTGGGTGTTTTTACGTTTCCCTCCTATGGGTTATCATAATCCCCAATTAAAATTTGCTAGTATAAGTGGGTTATCATAATCTTCAATAAATTTGGTAGTATAAGTCCCTATATTAATTTGGCAGTATAAGTCCCAAAAAATTAACCAACCAGGGTGGTTATCGTTGTCCCCACCGGGCTTCAACCTCATCGCGACTGGGACTCTTAGTGTGGAAAACATCGGTTCCACTCTTGGTATACAGTAAGTCCAGTTCGAACCATCAACCGTTAGGCACTTGGGTATTCTGGGCAGTGCTTAGTACAAATAGATACAAATGGGGGGGGTCAACGCATGTCAACGCCCCTAAAAAGATTGGGAATTTGAATCATGAATCAATGGGGATTTCACTACCAGAAAATTTGATGTCTTTTTGGGAATGGAAGGACCGGTTTCGATCAAATGCATGAAAAAAATAGTTGGTTGTTGTCCAATGGGACACCTCTTTACTACACAACCGGAGGAAAAGGACATGTATGTCTCAGATTTTCCGTCTTCCATTTGATCATTTGCTCATCCATTTCCTAATTATTTGGAATATCCACAACAAGATGTTCCTTTTGCTAGATGTATCATCCATCATCCATGAAAATCCCTGAAAATCCTAGATGTCCTTCCATTTACCCATCCAAATCCGAGAGTTCCTTCCATTCATCCATGAAAATCCATCCTTCATCCATGAAAATCCGAGAGTTCTCCATAGAATTTCCCCCATGTTTTCCCACGAATCTTCCGTTCCCATCCGTTCCCAGCAGTCCGGTGGAACCCCACCGCGCCCGTGGGACGGGCACCTCTTGAAGGAGCAGACGGCGCATTCGCCGTCGCTCTCGGAATCGCTGAAGCTGCTGCAGGGGATGTGGATGAAGGTGTTCTTCCTGGCGTTCACCGATCGGTTCCACCAGGATCAATCCGTACCCTATTAAAAATGGTGATGTTCTATAGTTATGTGAGAAATTATGGTGATTTATACACCAGATTTGGTAAAATCCAAAATTATGATCAAGATTTAAAAATGGTGATGTTCTATAGTTATGTTAAATTACCAGAGGGTAATAATCCAAGATCTGGTTACCTGGTTGGTGGTTGAGACCTACCCCTCTGAAAAATGATGGAGTGAAAGTCAGTTGGGGTTATGACATTCCCAACTGAATGGAAAGTCATAAAATTCATGTTCCAAACCACCAACCAGTGACTATTAACCATTATTAACCATTATTAACCATTATTAACCATTATTAACCATCATTAACCATCATTAACCATCATTATCCCATACTAAACCAATGTTCCAGTCACCACCAATCAGAATATGTACCCTTCGTTTATTTAACGTAGCTATGGGAAGATCCACCATTTTATAGTTCGGCAAATCATCATAAATCATCTAGTTCTATGGGCCATGTTTCCATAACTATGTTAGTCATAACCAGAGGGTATATATATATATTTAAAAAGGGACTCTCCAATTATTGTCCAATTATGATCATTGGTGATGGATTCTGAATTGTAAATAATGATTATTTTGAATGACTACAGGTGATGAGTTATATGTTATTTCATGGATATATTTTAATGACTTTACGGTCATAAACTATGATTTTTTACCGTGCATACATGGATTCTGGCAACGTGGTGATGCTTTTCGTGACTACTGTTTAGAAGAAATAACTAACCACTATAGAATGGGATAATCTTATGTTTTTTTTTGTGGTTAGTTGTTTGTTAATTGAAAACGTTGATCACAATTAATCAAAGGGGTTAATAATGGATTCACTATAGTTCATTATTAACTCATGCTATAAAAATTAATGGATCATTATCAATTAATGGCTTAATGGTTTATTATTAATACAACATAATAATCTGAGCCATTGATTGATTAATAATAACTATTATTAATTGACTAGTATTAATTGATCAACATCATTATGCCATTGACAATGATCAACATTGATAATCCATTATTAACAAACTTGATAATGAACATTAATCCATAGTTATTATCCCATTGCATTCCCATTATATCCATTGATAATGATCAACATGAACAGCTGGGATTAACAGCTGGGATTTCATGTGGGGTTTCAGCAATGGGAGATAAATTCATGGGATATGATATGGGATATCATGGGAAAGAAATATACCCTCTGGTAAACTAACATAACTATGGAAAATCACCATTTTTAATGGGAAAACTCACTATAAATGGCCATTTTCAATAGCTATGTTAAATTATCAGAGGGTAACCATATCCAAGCAAAATGTTTTTGGGATCATTGGATATGATAATTGGATATAACCAAGAACAAAATGGATAATTATATAACCATTAGAATCTAAAGAATGGGATATAGAATAATAATGGCATGTCATGGTTCTATAATGCGATATCCAAAAATTGGACAATTAGAATTGGATAATTAGCTTCCAGTAGATTAACATAAACCCTGCTAGAAAACGGGGAAGATTAGTTTCCACAAAAGCTTGGTGATTTTCAGGGTCTATGTGAATTTACCAGAGGGTAGAATGGGATATGGAATAATTGTGGAGTATAAAAATCCCCAATTAATCATAATATTGCTGATCATATGGACTAATAATCCCCATCAATAATTTACCCATTGATCCCCAATCATCAATCATATTGCTGGTAATTAATTATCCCCATTGGTTAATATGATTGGTTGATATTATCCCAATTTACCCATGAATTTTGCTGGCAATTGGGATGAGATTAACCAACATTAACCAAGAAAATCCCTGGATATTTCAACCGGATACCCTCTGGTAAACATACAAAAAACTATGGAAAATCACCATGTTTAATGGGAAAATCCACTATAAATGGCCATTTTCAATAGCTAACTGCAACAAATTACCAGAGGGTAGTTCCCACATTGATGGATAAAGTGATCATCTCCCAAAAGACGATGAAACGAAATTCGTCTCCGATCAACCAAGTGGGGCAACAAGCCACCTAAATTGAAATGGTTAATTGATGATAAGCCACCTAATTTTTTAATATGCCAAACAAAAATGCAACTGGCATAAAAAAAAACAGCAACTTCGCCCACATGTGTGTGTGTGTCTCAAAATCTTGAATTTATGGCAAGCTAACAGGAACAACTACGATTAAGCAAGGGGTTTTAGGGGTACGTCAAAATTCCTAAAAATTTTGGACAAACACACATGCCAGCAACGCATTCTCACACAGTGCCCGGCAAAGCTGCAATGCGCATTCAGCCGCATCTGGTGGAAAGTCATGACTGGAAGACATCCCCAAAACATGACTGGACACCTGGACCTAGAGATTTCACCCACTGTTGTGTTCAATGGCTATCACCTGGGGATCATCTATCACCTTGGGATGTATCATGCGTGACTCAAAGGAGACACAACAGCCATCAAAGATCATCGGAAACTTGCGGGTACTTCATCAGACCCCAACATTCCGAAATTGCAATATCTACACTAAGAACATGGTGTCTGAAATTATTCTAAATAGGGATCCAAAAAAATTGAAGCTTTATCATCATTCTCACTGTTTCAATGGCCATAAGATTGGGGAAAAAAACACCATTCTCCGAGAACACCATGTCTTGATGTTTCCGCCTCCGGCCCGGCACGGATGTAGGGACCTTGCTCCACAGGTCAACAGGGATAGGGATCTGATGAAAACGGGAACTTCAGCAGAAATCTCTGCGAAAAAAATCCAGGATTTCACCAGAAATAAGGTGTAAACATACTGAATTATCTCATAAAATGGCCAATCTTAGATACCCCGCAACAAAATGATGTGTTTAGCAATTGTTTAGCTAGTTAGGTTCTCTCCTCATTTGGTGGCCAAAAGTTTGGTCACATGTCAGCACGAGATCATATCCAGCTGGTTTCGGAGACCCATGGGACCACAGATGATCACTGTATGGTTGGGAAACTCTGTGTTTACCTTCGCTGCTTAGCTGCTTAGCTCCGCCTCCCCATGGGAAAGATGGCCCCAGCTGTCCCCTTTTCGACTGCGCCCCTTCGGGGTTCGGCCGCTTTTTGGCCGCGACAACTTCCGTGGAGGAACCGCTGGAGGCACCATGGCATGGGGAAATCCGACCCTTGGTGAAGTGATTCACCGAACATGGACCGAAAATGGGTGGTTTATGACGGCAGTTGCTCCAAATTTAAGCGCTGGTTGACTCCACGGGCATCCCCACGGAGGCTCTTGCAATGCAGGCACTGCTGGCGATTTTTTCACCAACACATGCAGGAAAGACAGATAGGAAAGCCATGGAAGCCATCTTAGGGCGTATCCTTTTTGACATTTGATACATATACCATCCGGTTGTTTAACATAGCCATGGAAGCCATGGCCCATAGAAATAGATGGTTTGATATGGTTTACCTATTAAAAATGGTGGATCTTTCCATGGCTATGTTAAGTAACCAGATGGTAAAATACCCGTTTATACCCATCCATTCATCAAACGTCATTCGGAAGGGATGAATTCCTGTGGCCTGTTTTTGTTCGATTACAGCACTTTTTCTTGATGACGTATACCCCAAACACCCTGTGTCCGTTGCTCATACCGTTTTCAAACAATCCATTGGTACCACCACTACACTGACATAGCATGACATGGCTATTTTGCCTGTACCCCAGTTCACACCATTTCGCTGGTAGCTATGGATTTTCATCCCTTAATCTGCATCCCCAATGGTATTAGGCACGGGTCTTGCCATTGCCACAGGTAACATGGTAACGGTTCCTCCTTTTGTCCAAAATCCTCCAAAATCCTGTTTTTGTTTCTGTGTTTCCCATGCCCTTTACCTGCGTTCTCAATCTACCCAGCCTCAAACGCCTTGCAAACGGAAAAGGCGCGTGGCTGGCCGTGTCACCATGGCTAATCCTAGATACCATGCAACAACCAATCAAAAGATGTGCTGTTTAGCTGGGTGGTATTATACACCATCTACAATATACATCAATATACATGTTTAAACTTAACATATTTAATACGGGTTGGAGGTTTCAACCCTCTGAAAAATATGAGTTCGTCAGTTGGGATTATTCTTCCCAATATGTGGAAAGTCAATCCAAATTCCATGGTTCCAGTCACCACCAACCAGCTAGATATATATATATATCCCTATCTATTATAGCAAAGTTCTGATTATAGCTGGGTGGTATTATACACCATCTATAATATACATGTTTTTTATATATCATATATCCCTATTTATTATAACATCCAACATTGACCAATTGATATCTTGGAAGCCTCCGGTCGTATGGAGATGGTGAACCCAGCTGTAAAAATCTCCATTAGAAATCCATGGAAAATTGGAATTTCATATACCTGAAAATTACCATCATTTTTCAGAATCTGGTATTTCAGAATCATGGTAATTTTTTGGTAATATTGATATGGTAATACCAGAATAATGCCAGAATATTCCCATATTTTTCTGGTATTATTCTCCCACTCCATAATGGTAATATATGGTATTATTCTGGTATTATTCTGGTATTATTCTGGTATTATTAATGGTAATATATGGTAATAATATGGTATTCTGGTATTATTACCATTAATATTACCATAATATCAGAATATTAATGGTAATAATACAATTCCTCCAATTTTCCCATTCCCTTCTGCCTTTGGCCCTTCCTCTTCAAACGTGCAAGGCTACGGAGATCTGCACCTGGTGGATCCGCCAACCGGCAAACCACCCCAAACAACCCGGTACCTTAAAGGCAGGGATCTTTGGTAAGGCAGGTTTATTGGGTTTATTGCTATGGAAAAAAATATACAAAAAAACTATGGTAAAAAATCCCCCAACTTTACTGAAAAAAACTAGGTATATTGCTATATGGAAAATCAAGATTTATTAGCTGATTGAAAAGCATTAGAATCAATACATTTATACCTGACTCACATGGAAAGATGGTGAAGGTAATTCCATGTTTGATCGATATATAAGTCGAGTTGATTTCGAGGTTACCCGTTTTTTCAGCATTAGGCAACTAGCTTCGTAGTTTTTTTTGGTTGGTACAGTGACATGTCCAACGAAAAATCGTTGGAAGATTCCCAACAGATCACCTGTTTGATATGTTTGATTGTTCTATCCAACAGATCACCAGTTTTTCTGTTGGTGAAGTTCACATAGTTCACATTTTTTCAGAGCTAAGCAACCATTCTGGGGATCAGGCTAGGTCCCATTGGTTATCCCACTTTCGGGCCATCCATGGCCACTGGGATGATCCGATTCATGGGATTTTCCCACTGATTTTCCCATGAAGATGATACCAGTTAAGGAGGATTATGCTAACAAACCAAAATGGTATAAATTTAGTAAATATATATCATGGTATAATAATCTTATTATATATATATATTTAGTAAACCACTATATACAAACAGCCCTACTAACGAAGTCCCTAGATTCCCCCCTTTTCTTCGTGTCTGAGCTCAGCCCCTTAACTCGCCCGAACGTTCCGGTCGTTCCGCCTGTAGGAAGACGCTGGTCTCTTCCAGCTCCTCGTGTTCCTCTCGCGCCGCCAGCGTCATGCTCTTTTGCATCAGCAGCATATCTACCTGGGTCCAAGGCTGAAAGCTCATAAGGGGCAGTGATAACAGGCACTTGTTGAAAAATAACTGTAATGGGATATAATATAGATGTTGAATAACTATAGATGGGATATCTCTCATGGGATTTTTTGTTTTGTAAAACAGTGGGTTTATCACCAACAGTCCCAAAAAACGATGGAAAGATCCACCATGCTATTCATGTATTCATGGGTAGTTATTCACGATTTCTATGGTGATGTTCCATAGAAATAGTGTATTTTCCCATGAATAGCATGGTGGATCTTTCCCATCAGTTTTTTGGGACTGTTTACCAGAGGGTAAAAATCCATGATTTTCCATAGTTTCACCATTTTCCAGCTGGGTAAATCCACGAACTAAATCACCATTTTACCAGAGGATAACCATCAATAACCCAGATTCACCACTACTAACCATCACTAACCACTACTATTAATAATGATGGTTAATCATTCACCAATAATGATGGTTAATCATTAACCACTACTAACCAATAGTTATTAACCACTATTAACCACTATTAACCATTATTAATCACTACTAACCATCACTATTAATCATTAACCACTACTACCCTCTGGTAAACTAACATAACAATGGAAAATCACCATTTTCAATGGGAAAATCCACTATAAATGGTGATTTTCAATAGCTATTTTGACATTACCCGGAGGGTAACCATCATTAACCACACATTTCCCACACATTTCCCAGGCCATGGCACCTCCTGTGGCAACTGCCCCCGCTGCCCACGGAGCTCCGCGGGGTCCACGCGGTTGCGCTGGGACTTTGCCAAGCCGAAACCCACCTGGGCCGGATCCCATCCCGAAAAATGGGGGAAATCCATGGCTTGGAACGGCTGAAAATTGGGAAAACCTAGGGAAATCCCATGAAAATCAGAGGTGAACAGTAGTGAATCATGGCTATAATGATCTGGGAGAATATGTTTTTGAACGGCTGAAAATGGGGAAAACCTTATGGGAAATCAAAAGTTCATGGGTCAGAATTGGTGATTTTTCATCGATTCTCCAAAAAAAAGCTAAGGTTTATACTGGGTTTATGATTTGGATATAACACCAAATATCATGGTTTTCATGCCGGTAATGGATTTCTAGTAGGATATTTTCATGGAATATAGCAACAAATGGTGAGAAAAGAAACCCGGGAATCGACACATGGCACGCTGGAAAATCCCCGAACTTAATGGAGGCTTCTAGTTGCGAAAATCAACGAAGCAAATGGGTGCAAGTGGGATATTTTGCAGCAAACCACGTTTGAGTACCGGAGGCTAACCAGTGCAAAACTGGAGAAACTGCGCAAAACATGAGGAAATTCCGTGGATGATCCCCTAAAAAGGTAGGGAAAATCAATGGGTTAAAAAATATCGCTGACATATCTCGAAATCATTTGGGAACAGGACGGTTTTTACCTGTTTGAACTTTAAAACAATGTGGAAGATTGTGAACTTCAAAAATTGGGAGATGTACATAAGTGAATTTTGCCTTGTCGATTATCCATTTAAAAAAAAAAGTTCAAAGATGAGGGAAACTGTGTTTTTGCTAACCAAACAAGAGTGTGACAATGATATCGGCCAACAACAACAACAACAACAACAAGTGGGGATGTTCTACTATACACCATCACAACCGTACTCAAAAATATTGCTCCACTGTTGGTCAACCAACCGTACGAGTTCCCAAGAATTAACAGTGACCCTCCAGGGGGAACCCATGAGGGGAAAATGATCTACCATCTGGTTATGACTAACAGTTCGCCATGGTATAGATGGCCCATAGAAATAGATGGTTTACCTATTAATAGTATGGTGATTTTCCATAGTTATAGTGGATTTACCTATTGAAAATTGCCATTTATTGATGGTTTACCTATTAAAAATGGTGGATCTTTCCATGGCGAACTGTTAGTCATAACCAGATGGTACATGGAGGGTTTTCCATCTTGCTGTCCGAATTCTAAATATGTTGCCCGCTGCAATTTCTGTATTTCTGTATTTCCCCAAACATGGATAAGCACCATCTACCCAGAATGAGGCATTCTATGTGTCATAATCATCACCAGCGAACCAGGTAAGTTTTCTAACCCCCTAGAGGCCCTAGATTCAAATGTTTCAACCAAAAAACAATAATCATCATACCATATCATGATCAGCCAGCTAGGGTGAAAATCATCCGAACCGGGATTTTCAATATCAACCAACAAGTTGAAACAAGGTCTATCTCTATCAAAGTTCGAACCAAAGTAGGCAATTGTTGACTTCAACCCTAGAATTCACATAGCATTCCTGGAGTTTACCAATCTTAAACGGCTGAGACTTGCGGCTATTTGGGGATGATTCCCCGAATCCAATTCCCATCATTCCAGTGCCGTCACGCATGTAGATGTATGTGGGGTTTAGCCAACAAAAAAAACAGACATATCTAGGGTATACCCCAGTTACACATATGCAACGAAAGAAAGAAAGACAGAAAGAGAGAGAGAGAGAGAGATCTATATATATATATAATAATAATATATATATATAATAATATATATATGTAAAGAACCACATATGTTGTATGGTTTTTGACTCGATTCAAATTCCGTTTCTTCTTTAACATCTATCTTCACAATTAACTTTTCGCATAGATAGGCATTGTTGACCATGTGCAACCCATCATGTTTTTTTCACCCCGGGGCACCTTCTTCTCCTGCCAGTCGTAGACGGTGTAGTAACGATGCAGCACCGGCTCACCCAGGATGAAGAGTTTGGGGCCCAATGGCTCTGGAAGTTTCACCTTGGAGATAGCCAATCAACATCTGGGAAATGACTGGAAAAATTAGAAAAGTTGTGGAATGTTGCGGAACAATAGGGCGGAAAAATATGGTACATGCGGGGAAACATTGACATTTGGTTAGTTGAATTCCCATATTGTCCATTCAATTTCCATGAAATCCCATGATATCCCTGGTCCTTCACTGGTGAAATCACCATGAAGTCCCATGAACCACTCCTTGATTTAAATCACCATGAAAAATCCCATTAACCACCATGACAAATCCTATGAAATAACCCTTTAAATCACCACTAAATCACCAAATCACCATGAAATCAACCAATTTTCTTTGGTTCACTGGTTGCTCCACAGTGGCCGACATCAGCCGCGGGCTGCAGTGCCGTGTGACTGGCTCCACCGAAGGGCTTTCGGGCCTTGGGAAAGCGAGCAGATCCTAGGGATTTCAGGGGGGTTCCCTGGGATCAAAGGGGAAAATCACCATAAAATCACCATAAAATCACCTGGGATTCATGATATTTCATGGTGATTCTATGGTGGCTTAATGGTATTCAATGGTTTTTTGAATGGCGATTCGATGGGATTTAATGGTGATTCGATGGGATTTCATGATGATTCAATGATTCAATGGGGGTTCAGGGTGATGATAGTGGATTTGATGATGATCTAATTGGAAATATCATGGGAATATCGTTCCAATATAAATGGAAATTGCAGGATCAATGATTTACTTTCTGGTGGCTTAACAATTGGCTACTGAACATGGCCGACGAAAACAAATAATTTACCTATCAAAAATGGTGATGTTCAATAGGACAGCAACTACAGTCCTAATCTGTAGGCATTGCCATGTGATCCAAGAAGTTGCACTTGACGTATCTCCAAGGGATTTTTGACGTCCAAAGGGTGAGCTGTTGGCCCCGGCGAAAAAAAATGCACGGCATAATTGAATGGTTTTTTATTGGATGTGTAAACCCAAAAACATGGAAGTAGGATCTCAAATTCTACCCTCTGGTAATTTAACATAGCTATTGAAAATGGCCATTTATAGTGGATTTTCCCATTAATAGCATGGTGATTTTCCATAGCTATGTTAAATTACCAGAGGGTAAGCCACACAGAAAAAGAACCGCATCTCGGGTTTATTCATGTTACCATCTTCTCGGTGCAGCCATGCAACAGCACTTCCAACTGTTGGTCGCCTGCCAGCTGAGATTTCCATTCCGGAAATGGGCTGATGTTGCCATGTCCGTTGCTTATACCCAACATCAACCCACTTTTGCTCCTGAACCAACGATGGGTTCAACAAAACTGCTGTTGCTAAATGCTGAAAACATGTTCGAATGGTGATTTCACGATGTTTGATGGTCTTAAGATGTCTTAAGTGAAACAATGAAACCCGAGCTCTTGTGATATCAAAGTTTTCATGGGTGAAACATCACAATCAAAACCACCCTGCTTGTATTATCCCATCATCCTGCTTAGTAAATATTCCTATTAAGGATTCTCACTTATAATCCCAAATCAACCCGGTAGTTTTTTGTGTACCCTCCTGTAAACATACAAAACCGATGTGGAAAAGCCGGCATGAATGTAGATCATTTTGCCAACAAGAAACATCTGAGCAGTAGATCAACAGTAAATCCCAATCTGTTCCCATTAAATATTCCCATGATATTACCAAACATAGATGGTTTTTCTATGTCCATCATATTCCCATGATATATGTCCATAATCAACTGGTCATAACCCATAATCACCATCATAATATCCCATAAGATTCCCATTAATAATCCCATCAACAATCCCACCAATAATCCCACAATATGCCCATAAGATTATCGTATCCCATAATAATCCCATAAGATTCCCATTAATAATCCCATAAGATTATAATATCCCATTAATAATTACCCATCAATCCCTTTTTTATCAGAAGATTCTCATTAAAAATTCAAAAAAAACTAATCTAACATCATCAAATCTATTTTTTGGGGAAGATTCTCATTGAAAAAAACTAACATCATCATATAATTCCCATTAAATCATATAATTCCCATCATATTCCCATAGGATTCCCATAAGCTTCCCATAAAAACTGCTGATCGTTACCCTGGTGGCGAACCTGCAACGCCTGCAACCTTCGCCGCCGCATCGCCTTTTGGCCGCACGCCTGATGTCGATCTGAATATAAAGAAAGGAATAGATGGTATGGATATCGGGGAATAATATATATATATAGTGTGTAATATATATATATATATGATATATATATATTGTGTATATATATATTGTGTATATATACATATATATATATGATATAGACAGAAAATGACATAGAGTGATAGAGATTGTTTGGAAAATAAGTCGATAACTTCGATCAGACGAAACATTAGCCGCCTCGCCGGCCGCCTCGCCGCCTCGTCTTAACGGGATGAACCATAGGGCAATCATAAACCACTCATCAAAATTGATGGCTTTTTCTACTATGAAAATGATATAAACCACCCATGTCTTGATGGCGAAAAAAACCATCAAAATGAAAAAAAATGTTTTTTACTAATTTTTTTTTGGGCCAAAGTTCACCCCTTCCACCACCCCCCACCTTCAGTCGAGCCCACTGTGACACCATCGCGCAGGGGCAGGCGACGCATGTAGTTGAATGGGTATAAGGTGATAACCTGCACGGGTTTACCCAAGATCATCCCAAGATCATCCCGGGTATGATGAGCATTGGTTGGAAAAAAATATGAGGTCACCAAGAAAACCAATGGGATCTAAGGATACCAACAGAAATCAGCAATACTATGATTCGTAGTTAACCTTAGTGGTATGCCAGTCGCCAGTGTTTATCTGATTGGTGGTTTTAACCATCTTGGAAAATATGAAAGTCAATGGGAAGGATGTTCCCATATATTGTGGAAAATAAAATTCATGTTTGAAACCACCAACCAGTAGTAAAGAGTTGAATGATGACATTTCCAACAGCCGGCAATGAATGGTGAATGATGGTGGACTAACAATAGATATTGAATTGGGAATGATGGAATGGGATTATGTAGGTAAAACAATGCCATTTGCACCATCCCCCACCAAATCACCATTTTTGCAGGCGGTATGTGTTCCATTCCCAATCATGGCTGGCTTATGACATTGTTTTACCCACATTAGATAGGTTTTAAAATCATGAACCAGTGATGTATGCTAACGCATGCTAATGTTTTGCGATATTTTACCATATATCAAATGAGGTAAACCGAGAAATGGCACTACAAGTAGCATGATGTCCCATACTCGTCTGATGGAACAAACGGACTTTACTTGGATATACTGGGATCATGTACGTGGAATTAGGGTTTAAATTGGTATATTTGGGGATTGTTACTTTAGATGTTGATTCAAATGGTACTTCGGGATTACATTTAGGGTGCATCAGCTCTTATATTCCAATTTCTTAGCTATCAATTGCTGTAGCTTTTAGGTGATAGCTCAGCGTATGAAACACGAATTACACGGCTCACATCCCCAAAATGCTGCCAGAGTGGTATGCGTCGATCTGTGAACAACTCGATTGTGGGATTACTTTGTACCAACGGACCCATAAAATATGTTTAGAATCGTTGACTTTCCATGAACAACGTCTAAATGGGCTGATCACCACCATAGTTTAGTGTAGCTGCTAGCTGTTTCAGAGTTGACAATCCTAAATCTCCAGAGCTTCTCGATTCAAAAATCGGGGCCCAAATATTCCAACCCCAGCGGCACTGAAAACTGTGATTTTTCTACATGGGACATGTGGGGTATGTCGCATTAACTGATTGGTGGTTGAGCCCTACCCCTCTGAAAAATATGAGTTCGTCAGTTGGGATGATTATTCCCAATAATTATATGGAAAAAAAAAAATCATGTTCCAAACCACCAACCAATTTAGGGCATCCATGGGCATCCCAACTCATCTCCGAAAACGTGTGAACTTGTCAACTCGCGCCTTGCCCTCCAACAGCTCAATCTCCAGCATGGGAGCGTCTGCATTGCGGCAATCTAAAAGGTCCCCAGCGTCCATCTGCAGTCGCTTCTCAAAGTCCTCTAAAAATGAGCCGATGGACTGTCCAACATCCTGGAAATTTGTTTGCGAGGTTTTTTCATGTAAAAACCGGCGAAGTTTGGGGATGTAACAAGTTATAACAAGTTAACGACTATGAAACTTGGGAATTTAGTACCAAAAGCTATGGAATTATGGAAGACTATGATGTCTTAGCGGAGGTCAAACAACCACGCCACTGAAAAAATGGCGAGACATCGCCGCGGCAAAGTGGAGATCTCAAAAGTGGTTTTTTTTTTCACCCACCTTCAAGGTGATGTTCCAGGATTTTTTAAATAACGAGTGATTGATTTATGGGAAAAAAAAAACATCACCCACATTTACCCTCTGGTAATTTAACAGTTTGCTATTGAAAATGGCCATTGAAATAGTGGGTTTTCCCATTAAAAATGGTGATTTTCCATAGTTATGTTAGTTTACCAGAGGGTATTTTAAAAAAAACGCAGGTGTGTCCCAAACTGAAAGCTCTTGTTACTTGAGAATCTCCAATTTATTTAAACACAACGATTTCATCAAGCTCCTGAGCTATCACCGTTTTTTTAATCTCCAACTTGGGGGGCCCATTTAGTATTCAGTGTTACCCCCAGTTGAATGGAATACTCCCCACTTATGGGATGAAATAGGGCGGAAAAACTATGAACAATATTTATTGCTTGATATGATAAATATATACTTTTTATATGGGATCAATATGGGATAAATGGCTAGTAATATAAGCCCCAATACTATATATATATATATATGGGATATCCCACTATTATAGATGGTTATATCATAGTTATATCCCACATTGATATATGGAAACTTAACACCCAACCACTTCGCGACTTACCCTCTGGTAATTTAACATAGCTATTGAAAATCACCATTTTTAATGGGAAAATCCACTATAAATGGCCATTTTCAATAGCAAACTGTTAAACTACCAGAGGGTAGCCCACCACCACACCACACCACCAGTGTCCTTGTTGTAGGGCGCAGGGATGCCCAGATGCGACGTGCCCGTGTCCAGGACGCCACGACAGGTGCCGTCCATGCAGACTTCGAGCCTCGTTCACCGCGGCCGCATGGCGTTCATGGCGTTGAAATGTTCAAAGCCGGAAACATGTTTTTTTTTTTGATGGTGTGTTAATTCCGGTTTTTTATAGTTATGATATGTTTTATGGCTGTTTTATAGATTGTCCATATGGTTCTTAATGGTTTACTCTTTTAATCAGTTCAAACATGGCTAACTATGCTATATAAACATATATAAACAGTGTATCAATAGTGGATGTTGAGACACTAACTTGCGAATTTCCTGGTTTTTGACCACCGTTCGTTGACCGAATTGCTGTGGATCTTTGATGATTTTCGGCTCAATTCAACCAATACTGGGATAGGATTTAAGCAACAAAACTGATACAAGAAACCGAGATGCTGATATCATATGTTACCCGGCCTGGTAAACATACAAAAAACTCTGGAAAATCACCATGTTTAATATGTTGAATGGTTAAATCAACTATTTCGATGGCCATGGCTTCCAGTTCGCAAACTGTAACAAATTACCAGAGGGTAAGCGACAATCTGATCGACCCACAAAATGAAGTCACCGGGTGGACTTCACCTGATGAACTGGTCATATGGTGATATTTTGTGAGTTTTCATGGCTATTTAAGCACCATAAAATACTGTAGTTATTTTCCGTAAGTGTCGACCAACAACAATGCCAATCTTGGGCATAAAAAATCACTGGCTTTGTAACAATGGCAATCTTCAGAGGGAAAATTTGAAAATGATGATCAACGTGATCAACTGACACCAAAAACAGTAGCTGTTTTTCCTGTTAAACACATTGCGCTTGGGTGCCGTGATGGTGGGATTTTTTTTAAATTCGCCAACGGACACCTTGCGGTCAACATATTTTCTCTCTGGTTCCAGCTGCCCACTAAAATCTCCACTTCTGCACCCTAAAATATGGGAGTGTGTCAAAACCCATGGAATCCCCTGTAGTTCACATCAAAATAGCTGGGATTTATGGATGTGAATAACCCACTAAAAATGGTATTAATAGGTATTGATCCATAGCCATATGCAAATAGTTATGGACCAGAAATACAAAAAAATGGGATTTGATGGATAGTCTGATAGTCTGGTCTTCCATGTTGGGGGATTAAATCCATACTTAAAATAGTTGGTCAATGGTGAATCCCCCCAAATATGCCATGCCCAGCAGCACTTCACCATTGATGCGGATCGATCGAATCCTCACCTGCCAGTAGCCCAATTCCTGGGAGGCAATGAAAAATCAGCCAGTTGGTTGGTTTTAAAACATGGCACATAAAATAGACGGTTAATTGAATATCATGTTCCTAATAACTGGGAATATCATGTTTATGTGGTTTTAATAAACCTTTTATGGGAATCAATAAAGGTGTTAATTGAATATCATGTTCCCCATATATGGCTAAATATTCCCAACATTGCCAGCTGGTTGGTGGTTTTAACTATCTTGAAAAATCATGGACTTCGTCAATGGGTTTCGGATGACATCCCATATATGAAATGGAAAATAAAATTCATGTTCCAAACCACCAACCAGCCAGTTAATGCCAGTTAGTCAGTTGGCAAAGAAGTGAAACACCAACACGCATCTGTGATTTTAAACTGGGAAACACCGAAACACCAACAAAAATCTGCGAAACAATGGGGGTTTTCTATCTGTACTGATGGAGGAAATCCCATGAACATATTCCATTTTGGGATTTTCCGAATCACAAAGCTAGCGGTTCGGAAATCTATGTTGAAAATAACATCAGAACCGGGGCTTCAGAAACACATCAGGGGGGCCCAGCAAAGAAACCCCATGAAAATATTCATTCGTCGGGACTGGGGAAATCACTCAAAGCTTAGATCCCGAAAAACCAACCTTCACCGACGACTGGATCTGCATCTCCCTGGTGAAAAATCCATCACTATCACTTATACAATGGTGAATATTATGATACTAAATATTACTATTATAGTGTAATTAGTGTATTATTATTATTGTAATCACTTATAATAATCCATGGCTAAATACACTACTATGGAATTACTATAGTAATCTAACAATAACCATTATAGCAATATTTGGAATACACTAATAATAATGGAAATACACATCCAAGTGCTGAAATTTCGGCTCGGTGTTTTCTGCTATTCCTTGGGAGCGGAACTCTCCCTCGATTTTCAGTTTTTGGAGTCTCCGAAATGGATTGCTGAATGGAAAATCATCACGACATGTTCCACAACCACGGGGGGCTTTTCAAACAACAAACACTTTCTGGGATGATTATCCAAAAAAAATGATGCCAAAAAAATATATAGAAGAGAATCTCCAGAGTGTTATAGATGGTGATTCAACTATTAATTATACTAATAACTATCCATCCATCATGTTAATAACTATCCATGTATCATATTATTGAACCAGAATATCATCATTATATCAATTATAGCCATTATCTCCATCATATTATGGTTATTAAATTACCAAAGGAAATATGATGGATATAATAATCATTTTTTGGATATATTACCAAAGGAAATATCCATCAACATATTATGGTTTAACTAATATATCCATCATCATATTACCAAAGGAAATGACCATTCATTATTTCCTTTGGTCATTTCCAGGTGTTCAACTCGTCCACCGGTTTTGCGCTTTTGCGCTGTCCTCCATGGCAACTTGAGACCAGGAGATAGGTTCCATGATGCCTCAGCAAAGGGGAATAACTGCTTTATAAGGGTTAATGATCAAGAAACTAGATAGTTTGTTTTAATCACAATAGATTCATAATAGATTATCATAATATATTCATAATAGTTTATCATAATAGATTCATAATAGTTTGTTTTAACCGGTTGGTGATTTCAACCTACCCCTCTGAAAAATATGACTTCGTCAGTTGGGATGATGACATTCCCAACTGAATGGGAAAAAAATTTCCAAACCACCAACCAGTAATAGTTTGCTTTAATCATAGATGTTGATTGTGATAAACATTTAAAAGTGTCAAATAAAGGCTTCAATGATGATAAACCAGTGGATGGAATGGGGTGCCATTCCAATGTTCATTTCGGTGCAATCATCAAATCACCCCGAAAGATGGAGGTTTCACCAACAGGTTTACCCTCTGGTTATGACTAACAGTTCGCCATGGAAAGATCCACCATGCATCACCATGCTATTAATAGGTAAACCATCTATGCCTATGGGCCATCTATACCATGGCTATGTTAGTCATAACCAGAGGGTAAACCTGTTGGCAAAAAAATATCAGCACTCAGCAATTTTATGGGACTTTAAACATCTTTAAACCACCCAAATCTCGTCTGGATGGTTGTTTCTTATATATTTCTACCATAATGAGATTGATGTTGAACTGTGCAACAAAACATGGGGAAACCACTGCTGGTTTGGAGTGAAACTCCGCGGCTGTTGCAACGAATCGATGCGAGTTGTTTCGCTGCTGGAAAACCCCTGTGTTCCACTCAATGTCAATGATTGTCCACGTCAAATCCTATCATTTCCCACTTCACTCTCCAATTCTTCCAGATAAATCGAAGTTTCCACATATTGCCCAAGGTTTTTTGTTTGTGTTCCAGTTGTCTGACATTGTTGAATAATGTTCCTAAGAAATTTCATTGTTTCCACTCTCCACCATTTCTCGAAAATGGCCCCCTGTTTTTCCACTTCTCACAGTTTTTCCAAGACATTTTTCCAATTTTTCCCAACTTTTCCCCAGAAATGTCGCCTTAAAAACCCATCCCCAGCCCCCCATCGCCAGGATACGCCGCGGATCAAATCCGCCGAAGGAGACTTCGCTCTGCTCCCCGAATTCGCCGTCGCAGAGGAAGACGCCGAAACGCGGCTGGGCCTTGAAGGCAGGAGTTCACCTGTTGTTTAAAGTGGGGATATGGATATATATATATATATACACTGTATATATATATATATGTATATTGACTATAGACCATATATTTAGAAATATATATGTAGCTATAGATATATATAGATGTAGATATAGAGATATAGATATATAGATAATGTTAATTATATGGGGATAGCTATTTGTAAATGACCATGGAGTTTTTGTATCCAAGTCATAAATAGGGAAAACCCATCAAAGTATGTTACACATATGTATATATATATATATTACATCTATATTATGTATATACAATTGTATCCACCAGTTGGGATAAACTAACTACGGGGACAGTCGGAGGTGTCATATCAATGATTAACTATAGTACAATAATTGGAATTTGATGGAATTTGAATAGAAATATAATGATCACGGAAAATATATGTGTAATAGTGCTAACTATGGAATTAATTACCAAAAGATGGAGAATTATGTCCAACTATGATATAACACAGTTTTGATACATAACTATTTTGGTACCTAATTATACTAGCTATATAACATTAAATAATAACATACTAGTTCTTCGCAGCAGAATCCAGCTGAACTTGTGGTCAAGTCACTGCCAAGCCAGAATGGACGATGACATCGAAGGTGCTAAAGTTCCTACGCGGTTTGCCGTTTAACAGCGGAACGGCAGCTTTTGGTGCAGAATTCTGAATCGCCTGGCAGAGTTCATGAGTAGATGCATCCATTAACCACTATTATTAACCATCATTAACCATCATTAATCACTATTAATCACCATTAACCACTACTAATCACTATTAAACACCATTAACCACCCATCCAAATTTCACCAAATCACCTGGCGAACTGTTCCCCTTCACATATCATGAACCTCCAGTCATCAGCGCCGTTTTCCTCACGTCATCCATCCCAGAGGGCCATCCCATCCGTGAAAAAGCCCCATCGAACACAGAAACACAACTATGCAACAGAGATATACAAGTACTAAACCTTATAAAATATTACAGTAATATAACATTAAAGAATAGTATCACATAACTAACTAACTATGGATAACATAACTATTGATCACATAACTATCTTCCAAGTTCCCAAGATTTCCCAATGGTCCCCAGTATCTCAGCAGAAATTCCGCCTGCTCATGGTAAGTCCAGGTAGACCCAGTCCCAGGATGCCATCGAATTGGAAGCTCTTGAAGGGCTGCGAGGACATCTCCACGGCCACGATGATGCTCATCCTGAGAAACAAATTAAGGGTTTTTATGGGAGAAAACCATCTGAAAAGCAGCAAAAATAGGGGAAGAAAACCAGGGATAACTATGGATAACTTTTCAAACCAAGCTGACAAATGCTGACAAGGTTTTATGGAAATTTACATACTGAAACAACAAAGAGATTTAAAAAAACAAAATTATGAACCAGCGTAGAACTACCCAAACCAGGCAACAACGATCCATTCTGGGTCAAGAAAAACACATCTGTTGGTCATTTGAGATCCCCTGAGCTTGGCACTCGACACAGAGGGGGTTGTAGTCCACGGCATCTTGCAGCGCATCGACCTTTGGCTATGAAAAATGGGGATGGAACCATCAACATTGGAATATTCACCAATAATGTGGTTAATATACTGTTAATAATGGTTAATATGATGGTGATTATATGGTTAATGATGGTTAATAATCATGACTGGTTGGTGGTTGAGCCACCTACCCCTCTGAAAAATGATGGAGTTCGTCAGTTGGGATGATGACATGCCATTCCCAATATCATTGAAAAGTCAATCCAAATTCCATGGTTCCAATGGTTCCAAACCAGCAACCAGTAGTTTACAACAAAAATTCACCACATATTTTCCCATGGATTTCAGCCAGTCCACCGAGTTTCCCCGTAGAAAACCAATCAGATCCAACAAGATCCGAAACTCAGCGTTACTAGATGTTACTAGCTACCTTTTGACCGGAAAATCTGAGGAAAATGATTGATCTTCAGAAGCCATCTGGCGTGTTGATCCCCAAAAACCATCTGGTTATGACTAACATTTCGCCATGGAAAAATCCACCATGCTATTAATGGGTAAACCATCTATTTCTATGGGCCATTAATGTCAACCCTGGATTAATAAAGCCCTAGATTCTTTCATTGGGAGGCTACCATTTAAGTATCATATTATGACTATTGGAGGGGTACCAACCTAATTAATAAATCATGGTTTAGTCTCATCCGGGGTTGACATTATTGACATTATATTAATTGACCAGAAATATCAACCAATCAGATCAACATGGATATTTTCAGCATCTCAAAAATCACCATGGCGAAATTAATGGGTAAACATGGGTAAACCATCTATTTCGATTAGGGCCATCGAAAAACCATGGCGAAATGTAACAGTCATAACCAGAGGGTACATTAACCATCATTAACCATTGATGTCCCATATGTATAGCATTAACCATTGATATATCATCATTGACCATCATTAACCATCATTAACCATTGATATCTATGGATAGCCTGGATAGCCTGGGGTTGACATTAGATGATTAATTCGGGTTTCATCAATTTTTGCGTCACGTCCGCAGTGAAATCCACCATGGATACCAATCATCTCCTAGGGAAACCAGGCAACGGTTACGACCGTAAAATTTAAAACGACCGAGACCGATACCTCAAGCGGCTACCCGGCCTGGTAATGACGGTAACCAATGGTTAATGATGGTTAATGCTATCCTAATCTGGGATATCAATGGTGAATGATGGTTAATGGGGATATCAATGGTTAATGATGGTTACCCTCTGGTAATTTCTTACAGTTTGCTATTGAAAATGGCCCATTTAGTTCGTTCATTTACCCATTAATAGCATGATGATTTTCCATAGCTATGTAAACGTTTACCAGAGGCTACCTCCTAATTCAATGAAGGGTATATCCCACATCCCACATCGCAGTTATCGATGATCTGCACCCTTCCTGGTCACACCGGGGGCGCCATGCTGGATTGGCTATGTGGAAGAAGGACATCTATGCAAGGTATCCCATGGCAATTTGTAACACATCCCATGATTTTCAGGGCCAATACCGACCTGTTTTGATCGCTCCAAAGCCACAATTTCTTGCCTATCTTCCATGACTTGTTCCATTTAATCCATATTCTCTTGTCTGGTTTGTTGATAATCAACTCGAACTGGTTCATCCCCATTTATAAAAAGGGGGTTCTGAAAATTGTCAAACCACGTTTTCGCCACTTGTTTCGCCACAAAAAACCTTCCGGCATTCAGAAAAACACATTGCACACGAAACCTCCATCACTTTGCTACCCGAAGGTCATCCAGCTTTTGATTTTTTCGTTGGAGTTATATCTCCCATGGTAGTTTCATGTTTCATGAAATCCGTAGAAATCCATTGTAATCCAATTCACCCATATAATCCAGTGTATTGAAATGTTCATGAAAATCCCATAATTTATGAAATGGAAAACGGATTTCCGAATGATATGATCCTGTTGAAATGATCCATTGTATATGAAAATCCCATATAAAATAATATAAAAATACGATATATGAAATGGATAAATATATGTATATATATATATATATCATATACAATGGATACATATATGTATATATAAATCATGGTTATCCATGAAAATCCATTGTATATGAAAATCCGATCATTTATGCCATGTTGATTTTTCGGCCAAGGGTAACCCTTGGCAAAAAATTCACCCAGGTGTCCCCACCGAGGCATTCCTTGCGTCGGATCCGAAACAGACTCGCTCTTTGGCGAACCTCAGGGGCCGGGGACCGGTCATCACATGGCTGGGAACATGTCCGGTCAATGGAGGTTTAACATGGTTTACCCTCTGGTAAACTAACATAGCTATGGAAAATCACCATGTTTAATGGGAAAACTCACTATAAATGGCCATTTTCAATAGCTATGTTAGTTTACCAGAGGGTATATATCGCTGGGAAGATCATCCATATTTTATGGATGGACTTTTCATTTGTGATATAAACCCCTCCTAGCCATAAAAGTTGCCAGTTTCCCCTATAAAAATTGCAAATGTTCATGGGAACAACGATTTTGGTCCGTGGAATGGAATGGCTTTCCCCCAATCCCATCCCCTACATCCTGATTTCGACATGTTCCCCGGCATCCTGATGGGCTTCGGGGCCTCGGTCCTTTGATGAACCATTAATAATGGCTGATTTATGGTGATTAGTTACCATGGTAATAATTATGATAATAATTATATACCAACTATCATCATGGTTAATAATGGTTGATAATGATTTTATAGCTTCTTTATATGGCTTGGTCTGGACACTCCGCCAGTAAACCAACCCATTAAGCCAACATTTTTAGCTATGGACAATTATGACAATTGCCCAGAAAAAACGATGATTTACTGGTTGGTGGTTTCAGTTTCAACCTACCCCTCTGAAATATTAGAGTCAGTTAGGATGATGACATTCCCAATATATGGAAAGTCATAAAACCAACTATCATGGATGATTTTTCACCATCAAATCTTCCATACAAAAAATGCTGGATCATGGATGATTTGATCATTTTTCTGGTGATTTTGCTTACCATTATCAACCATTATCAGCCATTATTAACCATTATTAACCACTACTAACCATTAATTATTAACCATTATTAACCACTACTAACCAATAATTATTAACCACTATTAACCACTATTTACCACTATCACTATCAGGTTCCAAACCCAGATGGTGGACTTTCCGGCCCGCCAAAAAACTCCCCGGTGATTTCGCCCGTTCCGAAGCCAATGGTCACCTGCTACGGGAGAAACTTCCAACCCCCGGGCGAAGTTGAGAACAACGGAGGGGTACCATGACTTATACCATTTGGGGTTCATGAAATACCATGGAATACCATGACTTAGTAACTTAGGGCTCCGAAAATCCGAAAAATCTGAAAATGAGTTGACGGTCAGTGGCTGACCTTTTCTAGATCCATGACTTAGTATTGAAACCAATGGTAACCCTGGGGATCCCCAATTTTGAGAACCTGCTATTTGGGTGTGTGTGTGTGTGTCTAATCTGAAAAGAAGGGAATATTGTGGAACATTGTGGGAATGAATTTGGAATAATGGGATTCGAATGGAATATTCATGGAGCAGTGTTCAAAACCGCTGGCGATCGATGATTATATGGAGTTACATTATCCAATATATGGGGTATTGTCACAAACCCAGTATAGAATCAACTTAAGCTGATTTTTGGGTGCATCATGCTGTATCTGAAAATGGCGGGAATTCCTGGCTATGGGAATTCCTGGCTATGGGAATTCCTGGCTATGGGAATTCCTGGCTATGGGAATTGGAAAAAAGTTGTTGCATCCCAATGGGATAAAGATCTGGCGACGTGATATGGCTGTGATGCATTCGGTTCAAGGCGACGATGCGTGGTCACTTTTGGCCGCCATGGTTTGGAGGTCTTCCCCGAAGCTGTCTCGATTTTCTATGATGTGTATGATATGAAATATGTCAACCCCGGATTTTGCTAAACCCCTAGGCAGTACCCCCCCAAAAAAAATGAATAAATCAACCAGGGTGTTAATTTGACCCAGGGTTGACATTAAATATGTTACAACAACTTATCCTACCTAATTCTTCTGATCTGATCGCCAAGGTCATGGAATTTTCCCACCGCGAGAGCTCAGGTGTCCTTCAAGGCTATCCTTTGGGGGGCAAGGCTCCTTAAACAAAGACGGATTCCAGAGGACGGTGTTGTTGACTTCCGAATCAACGTGCAGCCAGGTTTTGCCAACTCAGGTTGGCAAGACCTGACTGCACTTTGATCGTCCTGCCAACTGCCTGCGGCTCCGAAACGCTTTTTTCGAGTTGGGCGAGTTGGGCGCGTCACTTTCACGTCTGTTCCATGTTTTCACTTGCGTCGATATGAAAGAGACGCCGTTCTGATCCGCAAACTTCTACAGCAACACTTCCATACCCGGCTACCTGGCAACACCCAAGAAAAGCCGGCTATGGAAGTAGAGAAAGGATCGCGCGCTGCCGCATTGATCGCATTGACACTCTGAGGATGTCACATTTGTCACTGTGAAAACATGTTCGCTGCCAGAAATTGTTGGGGCTTCGCTGCCAGAATTCCGCCAGCCACCTGCACACCACCCTGGTGCCCGTTGTCTCCATGGTTTGCTTGGGCCAAAATGGAGAAATGCTGATGGCCATGAAATCCTCATGGCGCCCTGAAAAGCCGCCCCTAAAAACAAGAGATGATAGAAGATATCAACAACAGTTAAAAACAATAAATAACGGTGTATATATATATACATATTATTATATATATATATAGTTATATATTTATATTGTATGTGTGTATGTATGTATGTATGTATGTATGTATGTATGTATGTATGTATGTATGTATGTATGTATGTATGTATGTATGTATGTATGTATGTATGTATGTATGTATGTATGTATGTATGTATGTATGTATGTATGTATGTATGTATGTATGTATGTATGTATGTATGTATGTATGTATGTATGTATGTATGTATGTATGTATGTATGTATGTATGTATGTATGTATGTATGTATGTATGTATGTATGTATGTATGTATGTATGTATGTATGTATGTATAAACATGTAGCAAAAATAGATAACCACAGATACGTCACTTTTTCATGTCAACCAGAAATAAAAACACCATGAAAAACTCTCCCACCTGCTCGCCCAGTTCATTGGGATGAACCCTGGAGCCATCCGAGTTGATGGGCACCGAGGTGTTCGAGAGCCGTTGACCTCAACGGGTTACCATGGTGGATGGCATTTCTCACCGGCCCTCAGAAAGGTGGATGGCAATTTACCATGGTTACCCTCCATCACCAAAGGTGGCTGGCTGAAAAATTCTGCCAAAATGAAGGATGGAATATGATGGAATCAAGGGAAAATCATGCAGAAATGATGGAATTGTCCAGCCATGGCCATGATTACTGGAGGCTATAGGGGATATATTCCCATCTATAGCTGGCTGGTGGTTCAACCCCTCTGAAAACTTAGTCAGTTGGGAGTATTCTTCCCAATATATATATATGTGGAAAAATAAAAAATGTTCCAAACCACCAACCAGATGGGGATGGATTGTTTTCTTTTGGGAAAATTGAAACCGGAAAGCGCCCCATTTTTTTTAATATATTTAATGGGAAAATACCTATGGTTTCCGGTGAAGATTTTCCCACCAGTCCATTGATTGTGGGGATGTAAGCCATAAATATGGAGAAATCTAGTTCATAATCCATGTTCAAAAACTCTATGGGGATGTAAGCCAATGAAAAAATATGAATCGGAATGTTCGGAATCCTCGTTCATAAGCCGTAGGGAATCCTATTTTCAGAACCTCTCAAAAAACTGGGGAGGTAAGTCATTTTTTTAACTGACTGGGGATCTAGGTAGTCCAGAAAAAAACTGAGTGTGTATGGTTTGTTTTTTTTCTAGTAAGCCAGTTTGTATCACCCATAACTCCAAACATAGCTTGCGAAACAGAAATACCCCAAGCATCCGCATCTTCATCAGGAGATGAACCAAGAAACTGTAGAGTTTCCGATGCGGCATCAGGCAAGCTTCACTCTTGCACCTGGATGTGAGGAACTCACTGAACTGAAAAACTGCCAGTGGCTGCCAATCAAAATTCACGACCTTGGCCAACCTTCCAACCAAGTACACAATCTTTTCAGAGATCATTCCCCGATGGCTGAAAACATTGCACTTTTGTTGTTCAAAAGTGTATGCAACAAATGTTCAACAAGACATCGTCTTCAACTGACTCATCTCTTAGGGTTTCAGGGGTTAAGTTTCAAGCGGCACCCGCTTGACTTGAACCACCCGCAAGTTCTCGCTCCTTTGTCCTCGCTCTCGCAAGTCATTCAGAAACTCTGCGATGCAGCTCGCGGCTCATGGGTAAGGTTTCCAAATACAAATCTCCTTGCGTTCGGCACACATGTCTGGATCCTTGATGTAGTTGCAAGACCCTGCATCTTGCGGTTTGATGGATGCGCAATAATACGACACTCGGCCATCGCCACCCCCATCAGGGCGGCTCAAGTGGTCGTTCTCAGTGTCCTCTTTGCGCAGGGACTGGGTCAAGGAGATCAAAGACATCACGAGAAGCGGAGTGAACCACTTCATGGCGATTTTGACAAACGAGTCACTCAGAGGTTTTGGGAGGCCTAAAGGGCTGGGCTTGAGCAAATGAATGAGACATTGGTTCATGTGGTTCATGTGGTCATTTTTTCATGGCCAGAAAGTCATCTAGAGACTTCCCGAAAAACCTTGAAACACAAAGTATAAACAAAACACCACAAACCTGGTGTATCCCTGTGTCTGCTAAATCGCATGTCTCACCGGCCCTCAGAAAGGTGGATGGCAATTTACCATGGTTACTCTCCGTCACCAAAGGTGGCTGGCTGAAAAATTCTGCCAAAATGAAGGATGGAATATGATGGAATCAAGGGAAAATCATCCAGAAATTATGGAATTGTCCAGCCGTGGCCATGATTACTGGAGGCTATAGGGGATATATTCCCATCTATAGCTGGTTGGTGGTTGAGCCCTACCCCTCTGAAAAATATGAAAATCAGTTGGGATTGTTATTCCCAACTGAATGGAAAAATAAAAAATGTTCCAAACCACCAACCAGATAGGGTTTATCACCATTGATATATCCAAGCAGCACTTGTGTTGCACATGAAAACCCCATCTGGTACCATGTGGAAGGGTCAAAGTCCTAGATTCGGGTCGTTTCATCTGTCAGTTGCTATTGCAGCCCTGGTTTCATCAAACCCACAGCCGGAATTGGTGGGTTTGACCCCACCACGAAGTCACTCCAAAAATTTCACCCGTCTCTTCATTCAACACTGAAAAACCCCATTAGACTTGGTGAAAAAAAACAATTCTTAGACTCTTCCCCAAAGATCCACCCTAAAATTTCCCAGATAAGATCTATACTTTTCCTTCTTATGATTTTCCGATACTTGGAACAGAAAACCATCAGTAAGGTTTGCAACTCCCCCTTGAGATGGCTACCACTCCCGACTCTTCTCCGGAATCATCAACAAAAACAGTTGGGATCATCATCCCAACTATTGGGGAGACATAAAAAATAATGTTCCAAACCACCAACCAGAAAAGTTCAAAAAGCTAGTGAAAATGGCCATTTATAATATTTATAGTGAGTTTTTCCCATTAAAAAATGGTGTTTTTCTTCGATCACCCGTGATAGATCCACCCAAAATGCCCATCATTGTCATCAATCATCACAACATTCTCAATCAAAAAACATACTTTCCCTGGTAAACTAAGACTTTGCTGTGAAAAAACTGTGTCTTTTCCGTGGTGTTTCCTTCATTTTTCTAGGTGGTTCCATCAAATACCCCGATGTTTTTCCATCATTTTTCAAAGTTTCTTTCATGGTGTTCCTAAGTTTTTCAACATTTTATCACTGATTATCACCATGTTTCACCATGTTTTCCAAGTTCTTCCACCATTTTCCCAAGTTTTCGTTTTTTCTCCTCCCGTTGCCGCCGTTGCCACCGTTGCCACCGTTGCCACCTTCCCGTCCCGTTCCGTCCAGGCGCTCCGCCGCGGGCAACACCAGATTTCCGGAGCCCGTGTCGAAGACCACCCGCAGCTCTTGCTTCGGGACGCCCAGCTGCAAGACCTCGCTGGTTAAATGGTCCATTTATGAACCATTAATGAAATGGGTGATTGATCATTTATGGATCATTTATGGATCATTTATGGATGATTTATGGATGATTTATGGATGATTTATGGATGATTTATGGATGATTTATGCATGATTTATGGATGATTTATGGATGATTTATGGATGATTTAACCATAGTGCTTCATTATTAACCATTATTAACCATAATGGCTATTATCCATTAATGAAATGGGTGATTTATGGTGATAAATAATGGATCATATAGTTTCTATATTCCACATAGATCATATAATGGATGAACCATGTATATAACTGGGTGATTAATTACCATTATGGATGATTTACTGTATGATTTATGAATTATGGGTGATTAATCATTTATGGATGGTTTACTGCATGATGATTAATGGATGATTTATGGTGTTTAATTATCATTATCAACCATTACTGACCATTATTAACCATAATGGCTATTATCCATTAATGAAATGGATGATTTATGGTGATTAACAATGGATCATATAGTTTCTATATTCCACATAGATCATATAACGGATAATCATATAATGGATGATTTATGATGATGATTAATGGATGAGTTATGGTGATTAATTATCATTATATTGAAAATATGAGTGGATAAATGTTGCATGAAAATTGTGGATAATGATCATTGATGGTGTTTAATTATCATCATGGATGATGGATAATGGATGATTTATGGTGATTTTGCTTGCCATTATCAACCACCCATTATCTTGGGAAATGGTCCATGGATGAAATATGATGGTGATTATTAATTATCATTATCAACCATTATCAATCATGATGACTGGGATGATGGATAATCCATATGACTGGGATATGAATGGGATAACCAACTATAATGATCTATAATGGATCTTAATGAAATATGAATGGCATCTTCATGGGATTATTCACATGGTAGATTAACATTCCATTTATGGATGATGTGAATGGGGGAAATGATGACCCAATATGATCATGGTGTGGTGTAAAACCAATAGACATGGTGATTTACAGCAAGCATCATGGGATCTTTATGGGGTACGAATGGGATAACCCACTTTTTGATGGATGATTTGTAGATGACTGACTCCATATGAATGGGAAAATATGGGATAATATGGGATACGGGATACGTATGGAATATTTACTGATAGTTTTGGGGGATGATTCTTGCTTTTGGGAAACCCCCATTGTATGGAATATTTACTGCAACCAACTATATATAATGATGTAAGTTATGAAAAGGAATATAGAAACTATGGGATCTGAAAAAGAGATGTTAATGGGATCTTCATGGGATATTCATGGGATATAGGAACAACATGGTTGATATATGGGAGATGATGGGGACATGGGTTTTTGTTGACAAACTTTTCCCATGGGATAGAAGTCATGGGATATGAAAATGGAGATGTGATGGGATCCCACCAAGACTCAAGAATGGAGGTGTCCTAAAATGGTACCCAAAAAATTGTTGGTTTATAATGGAAAATTGGAAAATCCCAATCTAAAATGGATGACCTAGGGTTACCCCCATTTCAGGAAACCTCCATGTGGAGATGCGAGATATTGAGATACGATGGAAAAAAATGGTGATGTCTGATGAAAACAATGGGATATCAATGGAGATATGAGGGTTTCCATAAATGGGGATACCCCAAAATTGATGGTTTACAATGGAAATTCCTATTTAAATGTATGAGTTGGGGGTAACCCCATTTTAGGAAACCTCCATATGGAAGAGAGGGGGTTCACCCAAAAAAAAAAGGTCAAGAATGGTGAGTTCACCATGAAAGTCATGTTGGGATTTTTCACATGGTGGAAACGAATAGTGGCAAAGAGCTTTTAGGGAGCCTCGGATACAAAAAGGACATTTCATCTCCAGATTTACCCATTAAAAATTGAAATTTACCTGAGGATTTAAGTGAATCGTTTTGGCTTTGACCTTCCACTATGGGGATGTATGCAAAAGGGGGAACTAATCTGTAACGGGTAACTGATCACAGAAAAAGATTGAAACGCAGAACATGGAAAGGCAGATCTTTAGCTACTAGATGTACTAGTAGATTTCTGTGTTTTTTGGTTCCAGTCTTTGGGAGACACACATGCGGAGATCCAAGTCTCTGCACCAGGCTTTGGCTTGAGTGAAAAATTGCGTATAATTTCTAATTGGGAGCGTCTAATGTTAGTTTGCCCTTGTGCTTTTCGTTTAAGCCCTAATCCCACTATGTTTTTCAAGACCCGCTGCTTCAGATTCGCCCCAAAAGACACCGGCGGTTGTTTTTAGGAGGAAGGTGGTTGCAGGAAAGCAGCTGACAAAGTCATCGTAGAAAGGTGCAGTCATCGAAAATCTGCTGGATAGAAAGGCGCAATGGCGAGGAACACTGAAAATCTTTTACGCTCCGACTTGGGCAGTTTGGTCATCCCATGGTTCAACAATTTAAGCCAAAAAAATATGGATGAAAATCCAATAGGCATACGGTAAGTATAGAAATCATGTTTTCATACCGTTGTAAACCACAGACGTTTCCCGACCGAGAAACTCCAGAGTAACTGGTCTTGAAGGAAGCGATCTTGCCACGTCTATAGACGGGTACCTTTTTGCGCGGCTACCAAGCACGGATGATTGGAAGCTTAAAAGGCACTCATAAAGACATCAGACTTTATCAGAGATTACCAGATATCATCAGATGTTACCAGATATTATTACATATATTCAGATATTATCAGATATTCATCCTTCATCACAATCATTGGGAAACAAAAACTACTGGGGATGGTTCCCGCAAACAGAAGGAGAAAGTCAACAAAAAATGCGTGTGCACTTTTTGCAAATGGTCGACACCTTTGTATGCTCGTTCATTCGCCATCACAATTGTTTCCATGTCTTTGGATCTTCTTCGGATGAGCTGGGCCATCCAAGTTTGGATTTCAATAGGATTGAACCATACGGAAATTGGGTCACATTCACGTTTCAACGCCACGGCAAAACGGCAAAACCACTCGCCAAGCATCCGATTCGCGACGCAATCCAATGATATGCGGTTTGGCCTGATGAATTCTTGATGGAAAAATTGAAGGGCACTGCAGGCAGTAAAAACCCAGCACATTCATGCATGCATGAAACTGTTGAGGCAAGGTCTTTCCAAGACATTTGCAATGACATGCTCTGACACTATAGTCTGGCACCACAACGTTGGGATCAGGAGGTCAAAGTTAACTGAATTGGCAGAACAGTACAGAAAGAACATGTCCTACATTCTATGTCTCGCAATGTTTCGCATTGTGGTAAACCAATGCCAGTCACGTCCGAGTGGGGGTTGCTTTCATTCCCACCCCTTTCTGGCCCATCCAAGGTTCCAGTTCTTAAGTAGATGAGTTCAACCCAGAAACATGTTGCCAAACACCTCCGTTCTGTAGGGGGTGAAATTGATGAAATCACATCTTTGGGACCTAATAAACATCATAAAC